TTGCACGAGACACCATAGATGGACGTCCAACTTGTAGACACTGCGGTGTAGCGTTCATCAGTTGGCAAAATATGCGCTACCACATCCAATCCAGCTCCTGTCCTGGCATGAATTGCACCAAGGCTCCGCCTTTGATCTTGCAACAACACCGCCGTCGGCTGCTTGATATCTATGATGCTGGTGACCTTCAGCTGCTGAAAGAGGATGGCAATCTCTGCACCTTCCTCACCCACAGGTGTGTCCTTTGTGGCTACTGGGCTGCACGCACTCAGCAGATGAGTGCTCATGTTGGGCGGGATCACCCGGATGCCTCAGCCCTTATCAACAAGGTCATGCCCAACGTCACACGAGCACGTGTTCAATCTCCATGTGAATACTGCAAAAAGGACTTCAAGTCGAAGACACACACCTGTGCAGTAATGAAGCAGTTGGGCCTGGCACTTGGAGACCGCAGATTTAGACATGAACATCCAGAGGCACCAGATCCGCCTACAATGGCTGATCATAGATCTCAGGCCCAGTATCAGTGCACCTCTTGTGACTGTCAATTTGCCACGGCTGCTGGGCTTCATCAGCACTTGAGTATGCAACACCCACATACCACAGTTCAGACGACTTTCCAGCCTCTCCGTGATCAGGTCCCTGGAGAAATGAAGTGCAGTCACTGTGACCGGTCCTTCTCGACACTGAAGGCCTTGAAACTCCACATCATTGGCAATCAATGTGACACCTTCATCCAGGACACGGCTGAGGTACCATATCTCTGGCATCATCCGGTGATCTTGGCTGGACTCAGCGGTGGGACGTTTGATCATTTGATGGGGTACAAAAGTCTGGTTAGGCGACTGGGCCTCCGTTGTGGAATTTGTGGACACCTCTCCCAAAGCTCCACCTCACTCCTTCGACATTTGGGCACGGAGCATGGTGACCGCTGGGCTGAATTGACCAAGTATGCGGAATGGCTTCAAACCCACACTGCACTGGCTAGGTTGGGTTGCACGTGTACCAGACCACCTGGAGGACCACATGTTTGTACATTGTTCTCTCACCTGGCCCTATTTGTGCACCACGACCTTCA